AGCAACAGAGATATTACTCATCACTTTGAAATTAGAATTATTCTATCATAAAATAAATTTTCCCACTTATGTCGCTACTTCACTAAGCATGGAAAGAACACAATGAAAAAATTTATTTAAATCAAAGAAATCCACTAGATAAATGTTTACAAAAATTATCAGATAATGAAGAGCATAAATCTTAACTCTTTTTCTATGCAAGAAAGATGAAAATCCCTTCAACAAAGTTTCTTGATGATCCATACAATGCTAATACAATTCCTTTCAAATAGCTCTAAAAATTTCATCTACAATCTCTCCAGAAAAGGAAAGAATCCACATTTTATACTCCTATCTATGACCTCTGGGCATTCCTAGAGATTTTAGGAGTTTGAAATACAAAAATTTTCTTTTTTAAGTGCCAAAATCTACCTAATAACTCATTGGGGCGTCTAGAACCCATCCACAAATGTTTCTGGCGCTTAAGCACCAAAAAGTGGCGTCATGGCTCCATCTTTTCTATTTTCTGGGTGGGGACTGGCGCCTAGGCACCACTTTTTAGCGCCTAGCTGCCACTCTGTTGCCAGCACCCTTGTTTGCTCCCATTTTGCTCTGTTTTGCCTAATTTTAGTTCCAATCCACTCCAAGTGTATAACCTATAAGGTAACATGAAAATAACTCTGTTTCATAGTGCAATTTCATTCACAAATATGTTATAAATGTAAAGGAAACTAAGCACAAAAAAAGAAATACATATCAAAATCTGTTAGGTTAAAATTTTCTTCCTTGCTCCATTTGACTCCATATTGCATCATTTTTGCTCTATTTTCTCCAAAGCTCCATCTCTTGTGCTTAAAACCAAAAAGATACAAAATAACTTCCATTAAAGTGCAATATCATTAAAAATGAACATAAAATATAACAAAGTAGCACATTTTTAAGCTTTCAAGAAAACTAAAAGGAAATGGAGGGAAACACCTTTCCTCAAGTCTACCCTTCATGTGTCATGACCAGCCCTCCAAGTATCATGATGGATGCATGCAATTGGCCACCATTATAAGAAGGTGATAAAGTCCTTTTATGGCCTCATTTCCAATGATTTAAATGCATAAATTGGTCCTTTAATGGATTGATTCAACCAAGTGGGTCCATCCAAAGATAGTAAGAATGATAAACCTGTGTCTGGATACCAGCAAAACTAAGCCAGAATGGTGCACCCATACCACGTGCATGACGCACTTTTGCTTGGAGAGCTTGGAGCACCCGCACCAGTAGCTTAAAGCTTCCTAGCATATGGGCACTAGTCTTGCACGGGATTAAAGCAGGGGCACCAACCTACTAGTACGGAAGCTCCACACTCTCCAATCACAAGTGCGCGTGCACATGGCACGGGTGCACCAGTCTGGCTTGAGTTTTCCTGCATCAAGGCAAAGTTTTTTCATGCTTATGGACTTTGGGAGTGAGGGAACTAGTATCTAGGTGCAGGTTTTCTTTGTTTGCTATATTTGGATGAGGGGGCTCTAGATAAAGGCGAGTCTGGGAGCATCAGCCACCTTAGTGCGAGCGCTAGACAAAAGTGAGGTGCAGGTGTTCCCCAGTTAGGGCGTGGATGTGCCTAAGTACTTTAAACATTCGCTGTGAAATCTCAAAGGATATTTTTGGACTATAAGAAATTACACTTGAATAAAATATGTTCAAGTGTAATAAAATATGTTCTCATAGGTCTGCACGAACATCCCAAAAAAGTAACATCAAAAATCAATGCCAACAATATCTTACTTCCTCCTTTAGGGTTCCATAAATAAAATTTTTCACTTTTATGCTTTTGTATTTTGTCATTCTTAATGATCAGTCGAGAGAACTACTTAAAAAAATTCCTTAAGATAAGACCACAACTAGAATCACAAGTTTTCTTAAGTGTCTTTTGTTTCTTAAGATGTAATTAACTATAGGGGTTGTGCTTATAGGATGATCTAAATCCAATTTAGCCTTTAGCTTAAGTAGGGGAAAGCTTTGTTGGTTTTAATTTTAGACCTTTCAAATATTGAAAATTTTTTTGTTTAATTAATTGAACCCATCATAAAGTGGTATTTCCAGCTTTTAAAATGGTAGATTGCTTTTAATGTTGTGTATGATTATTTAAAAAATTAAATCTTCAAATTTATATGTTTTCTAGAAAACCTAACTACTAAAAATAAAATTGATTGTGTGGGTACTTCTTAAGTAGTTCTTTAAAACTTTCTTAGGCTTCATAGATAGAATATCCATCTAACAAGATAAAGGAGGTGAAGTCATTCCTATGTTTTGCTTTTGTGAATAGAAAGGAGTATTTGGCCAGAAAGTTTTGAGCTAATTCGTTCCTTTTGGTAAATGACCATATTACTAAGGATATGAGCCGCATTTTGGGCTTATCCCTAAGTGAGAAAGGAAATATCCTTAGTCTATTAGCATTGTTAAAAATGATGTTATACCCAAAAATGGCACAAAATTTTAATAAAGTAGTTAAGTGAATGTTAGGGTAATATATGTGTGATCGACCAATCTTATTCTTCTAAACCATAAGATAATAGTTGGTTTAAGCTCAAAAGAGTTGGCTTCGATGCCAAGGTTATTGATACTCAAATGAATTTCATCTATCATTGGTTTTGCATACTCTCTAAGAGATTTAGGCATGAAATTGGCCTAGGATCCAAAGATAAGTTTATCATTTCACTTAAATTCTTTTGGATTTTTTAAAGTTAATGGATAATTATTACTATTCTTTCATGTTTAATGTCTTATAACACTAGTCCAAAATTCTAGTCTTATGCTTATAGGCCTAGAACTATGGACCTTAAACTAACAAATTAATTAAATCGAAATAAATACATAAAAATTCACCATCACAAAAATACATTAAAACAGAAATACTTGCAGAACATAAAATTAGGAAATAATTTTTTTTTGTATATCACACAAACAATAATGGAGAAATATGATAAAAATATGTCACAATAAGTTTTTATGTCTAAACACTAATTGTTCCACTAAAATCTTCCTAAAGCCTATACCAATATTTTATGGGTTGTGTAATGTCTCTAGATTTTGAAATCTCAATTATCTTATCATATAAGTGAAATATTCGACTATGATAATATTGGTATATCATATTGATTGCCAAGAACTCTTTAAAAGTATTCACTATCACCTAATCTCCCATTTGAGGAGAAAACCAAGTAGAATATAAACCATCGCTTGAGTTTAGATGCTTCATGTCAACTGCCATCTAATGTCTACAATTGATTGATGTATGAAGCATATTTATTGATTGTCTAGAGTTTCAACAAATAAGCCAACTATCAACCGTAACACAAATTACAATATTCTATAAGAAGATTTACATACATACCACACAATTCTTATGTATATACATATCTAACACCAAAAGTTTGATATTTGCATCTATAGCACTTTTGCATCATATACCTATTCATGAAAATGAGCATTTCATTTTTAAAAAGTTGCTGAATATGGTAGTTCTTTATGTGGTGATAAAGATTTTATTTGCATTCAAGTAAATATGAAGGTTAGTTTTTAGACATGTAAATACATAAGAATTGTTTGGTTGTATGTAAGTACGCTTTTTTTTTATCAACCACCACCAGCATCCAACACTTGATTTTTTTCATTCATCCGGCCTACCATCTTAGTAAGAGAATAACTGAGATAGTCGTAATTCTTTCAATGTTACTCAACGACACATTTAACACTTATCAATGGTCAACATCGAGTGCATGTCATCAACAAATGCTTATTGCTCAGCTTGTAGCTTATTATCTACCTCATATTAAGAATGGCTAAGTTAAGCAACCACTATCACCAAACCACTAGCATTCATCATTTATTTTAATTTTGTTCAATGTTATCAATGTCCGTTGATCATGGACCATCTGCATTTAATGTAATACTAAAATTATTTACAAACCAACTCCGAAGTAGGGCACCATTGGTAAGCCTTATATCATAAAAATAAAACTTTCATTTTTTATATTAAAAACACGTCTATTTGTCTATTACCAGAACAATAAACTACCCTTCAAATATTCCAGCACACAACCATCATAAATTTTAAACGAATAACATTCAAACAAGTTGAAAATTTAAGAAATTGCCACTCTATGACATAATGCAAAATGTATAATTGCTAATTAACTTTTACTTTTAAGAGAGTAAAAAATCATCTTTTTATTCTTAATTTCATATAAATTTCTTTGGTCAAAAGCTTGAATCTCATGTGTATCAAATATCATCAATCTGCATGAAGATTTAACAAAACCATCAAACAAATATAAAAAAAAGTAAAATTGATCATACAACCTTTTAATTTTTAGTTTTTTTATTCATCTCAACGATTAAAATTATTCAAATAATATACAATATCAACAATAACACACATTTGATTCCAAACTATACATGGACAACACATTAAAATCTCGAATATCAAATCACATAAGCATAATCTTCTATCATAAAAAATTTGATATATCCTATTAATAAACCCGCTATTTCAAAATTTTGGAATTCATATATTTCTCAAGCTCAAAAAGAATGAATAATTTTGAATTTTTTTAAAACAACGACTATTTTTAAAATCTTATTAAAAGCCACTAAAAGATATTTCATAATCTATTCATTTCCCTCTTCATTCTCATATAAAAAGTCCCACTAAAAATTAAATTAAAAATAAATATATTTCGGCAAAGTAAGCTCATGTTATCCCCTAACAAAATGAATGAATTTTTCGGCATGCATATTAATGCATCTCCATAAACAATGAGAGTAATAGACCACCAAATTATCTTTGTATTCTACCAAGCAAAATGTATTTTTGGCAAAGCAAACATAAAATAACTAATTTGAAAACTATATACATGACAGTAAATATAAAAGCTCCTCCAAATAAATAAATAATCAGATTGAACAGCCAAACACTAATAATTCATGTAAACAGTATCAACATTACTGAATCATTAAAACAAAAAAAATAAAAAAAGCATTTCATTAAAAATTTAAGATTAATCAGCCACAAATAAAGTATAGGCTTTGAAATACATTCATATCCATAAAAATACAAATAATCATATAAGACAACAATTTCTTCACCCCACCCTGAAATTTTTTTTTTTTTAAGGGTGGGTTGAACTCCTTGCCCTCCCCTTTGAAGGACAAAGGCAATACCACTTAACTGTGAAGTTTGTGGTAGTATATTTCTTGACCCTGCTTGCAAGACCATCAAAATGAGAGAGACCTCTCTCCTAAAATATGCACTGAATCATTATTCTACATTTACCTTGTAACACTACAAAAAAAAATAATAAATAAATAAATAATACAAGAAAATGGAAAAAATTATTAAAAATGGATTAAAATAATTATACAGTTAGGGCATGTTTCGGATCATTTTTGTTTTTTGTTTATCTTTTGTTTTTTTTTTCTTAATTATGTTTGTTTATTACATTTTCTATATGTACTTAATTTGTTGTATAACATACCAAACAAGTTTTATTTCACTTAAAAAAATTATAAATAGCATAAAACAAAAATAAGAAAAATAAAAAAAAATCAAAGATGATCCCAATCGGCAGCCTTTAAAATTTATTACAGAAAAATGATTATTTTTGTGATGTAAGAAGTCTATTGAGTCAATTACCAGGTGTGTGAATGCTAATGCTGCAGCTATGTAAGGTGAGTAGATCTGTGTATTTTTAAGGCACAACCTGTAAGGAAAATTCCTGTTTGTGATAGAGATGCATACCTGCAATGTGTTCCTGAAAGTGTGTCACTTTGAAGAACAGAACAAATGCAGTAAAATTTCAATTTTCTACAGTATGGTCATGGAACTTCTGCTTTTCTTTTCTTCTTTAAAATGTGCCAGTTTGTTGCATAGCTTGAAAAATTTAAGCGGACTTGGTAAATACATGTCTTTTTTTTTTTAAAAGAAAACATGAGGACTAACAAACTTCTTATGCTTCCAACATATATCCAAACGTAGAGCTCTAATCATATGGTTAAAACTAAACTTTTATTTTCTTATAAGCGTGAAACACAGGCCATACTGGTAAATATGCTTATGAGATGCAAAAGTGATCATCAAAAAAATTTAATAAAAATTGAGTGAAGCGCCAAAATGATCCCCTTACTATTTATATGAGATCATTTTAGTCCCGGAATCTATAAAATTGCTAAACAAATCCCCATACTAAATGGTCGTCATTGGGGACTATTTCAATCCAAATTAATAAAATTTGAGGACTAAATCAATACTTTTAAAAACTTTGGGACTAAAGGGACCTCCTGCACAGAGTCAAAAACAATTTTGACACTTTTCTCATAAAGTTTTTAAATCCTGTGGAAAAAAGCAATACTCAGATCTTAAATATCAGAGTGGGGAAAAAAAAGAGAAGAAAACTATGACTCGATGTGAAAGATGGAGAAAACATCAGATGATTTTATTGAGTTTAAAGCATTGTATTAACTCCTAGAGATTGAGAGGGAGAAAAGAATAAACTCTAAAAGTCGTCTTGGTATAGGATCAATCAAATGACATTGATATTGATACAAAATGATGACTGGAGCAAATATTAAAGAAGAACTCAAGTGTTAAGTAGTAAATTCCACCACCCATAATACATCCACCTATTGTCTTCCCCTTGACTAAGATCTTGAAACACATAATGAAATTGATAAAATGTTATAGAGTAGTTTTAACTTCTAAGAACATAGTACAAAAACAACAACAACTAAACCATAATCCCACTACATGGGGTCGGCTACATGAATCATTTTTCTCCATTGCGTCCTAGTGTCATAATTTCATTTAGTTCTAATAAATTAAGATCATTTCTTATACAATAAGCCCAAGTCTTCCTAGGTCTACCTCTACATTTCCTAACATAAGTCAAATCTAAAACATCTACTCTCCTAATCGGATCATTAGATGATCAACGTTTAATGTGACCAAACCATCTAAGACGACTTTCTCTAATTTTGTCCGTCACAGGAGCTACGCCAACCCTATAACGGATATATTCATTTTGCATTTTGTCTCTAAGTGTAAAGCCACTCATCCCACTAATCATTCTCATCTCGGCAACACATAATTTGGTATTATGCTTCTCTTTTAAAGGCCAACATTCAGCGCCATAGAGCGGTACAAGTCTCACCACCGTCTTATAAAATCTTTCTTTCAGTCTAAGCGAAACTTTTCTATCACACAAAAGGCCCGAAGCATTCCTCCACTTCAACCAACCAACTTGAATTCTATTATTAACATCCCCATCTATATCACCATCGCTTTGAACAAAAGACCTAAGATATTTAAATCGTTCACACCTTTTAATAATTTGATCGCCCAAAGTTACATTTCTATCACTAGAGCTACTACTAATAAAATCACATTCCATGTATTCTATTTTCGTTCTACTCAAATGAAGGCCTTTAGACTCCAATGTAGACCTCCATAATTCACGTTTTTCCTAGACTTTTTCTCTCGTCTTATCTACGACAAGAATATCATCAGCAAAAATAATACACCAAGGTAGATCCTCCTCTAAATGTCCAGTAAGACAATCCATAACTAAAGCAAAAACATATGGGCTTAAAGCCGATCCCTGATGTAATCCAACAGAAATAGGAAAATATTTGGTCAATCCTCCTTCAGTTCGAACACAAGTAACAACTCTAGTATACATATACTTAATTACTTGAATATAAATCATATCAACATCTTTCTTCTCAAGAATTCTACAAAGGATATCTCTTGGAACCTTATTAAAAGCTTTTTCTAAATCAATAAAAATCAAATGTAGATTCTCCTTATTATCTCTGAACTTCTCCATCAAAGTTCTCAATAAATGTATAGCTTCCATAGTAGACCTACCTGGCATAAATCCAAATTGTTTATGAGAAATCTTTGTAATACGTCTTAACCTATGTTCAATTACCCTTTCCCATAGTTTTAAAGTATGACACATCAACTTAATTCCTCAATAATTTGCACACTCTTGTGCATCCCCTTTATTCTTAAAAATGGGGACCAAAATACTCTTCCTCCACTCCTCAGGCATTTTTTTAGTTTTTAAAATAATATTAAAGAGTTTAGTAAGCCAAGAAACTCCCAAATCACTTAAATATTTCCACACTTCAATTGGAATATCATCAAGTCCTACAGACTTTCCACCCTTAGTTTTCTTTAAAGCCTCGTCAACTTCTTTTTTATTATTAATGATATTAAGATCACTAAGATCGATCGTATTTTCAGAAACTTCATTAAAAAGTTTATCAAAATATCTTACCCACTTATGTTGAATATCTTTTTCTAAGAAAAGTACTTTTTTATGTTTATCTTTAATAAACTTTACTGGAATTAAATCTTTATTTTCGATTCTCTTTGTTTGACTAGTTTATTCATATATTTTTCACCCTCCTTAGTATATATCTATTTTAAAGATCATTAAAAGAAAAACTTTTAGCATCACAATTAGTCTTTTAGACTCCCTGCGAACCGTTTGATATTTTTCCCACTTCTCTAAGCTTTTGCATTTAAACCAATTTTTATAACATAACTTCTTATATTTTATCTTTTCTTGCACATTATTATTTCACCACCAACTATTTTTAATTATAAAAATTTTTTCTTTTGATTCTCCAAGTACATCTTTTGCTACTTATTTAATAGTGTTTGTTATTTTATCCCACATAGCATTTACTTCTTCAAGAACATCCATAATTTGAAATCTTGAAATTTACACATAAAAATAATTTTATTTATATCTTTTAGGTTCCCCAATTTAATTCTACGAAGATAAGTCTGAGTATTCTTTATTTTACAACTCTTCACATTAAAATCTAGAACTAATAAATGATGTTGAGTGCTTAAATCCTCACTTGAAATTACCTTACAATCTTTACAATCTCGGCGATCTCTTATTCTCATAAGAAAATAATCAATTTGTGTTTTATTAGATACATTCTCATAAGTAATAAGATGCTCGTTTTTTTTCTTAAATAAAGTATTAATAATAACAAAATCATACGCTAAAGCAAAATCTAAAATAGCTCTAGCTTCTTCATTAGTCTTTCCAAGACTGTAGCCACCATGAATATTTCTGAAATCTTCCACCACTACCGCATGTCCGTTTAAATCTCCTCCAATAAAAATTCTTTCTTCAAGAGATATCATTTGTATTAAGTCTTCTAAATCATTCCAAAATTTACCTTTAGACCCTATATCTAAACCTACTTGAGGAACATAAGCACTTATATTAATAAAAATCTTAGTATCAATGATAATCTTAATAAGCATGTCCATTTAAATCTCCTCCAACTCTATTAATTTTTTACAACATTATCTTTCAAACTCTAATATATAATTACACTTATACCATTTCTAGTGCGACTCTTACCAGAATACCAAAGTTTAAAACCTAAGTTATCAATCTCGTAGATTGTATGTGGGTCCCAAATCAATATTTATTATATTCATAATCAAGCAAATATTTACCAAAATTCATTTCGCTACAATCTCCTTATCTTATACCTATGTCTCTTACTCAAAACAAGCGTCTAAATTCCATTAGCATTCATGGAGACTTATTATTCATCCATGCAAAAGCAGTTAACATTACAAATTTGCATTATCAGGTAAAAAGGGAACAAAAGGTACTTGCCTGAGGTTAATTACTGTGAGCATTTCCTCAAGGGCTATGCAAGCAAACAGAAAAACTTGGATGGACAAACGAATCAAAGCTAGCTTCCCCAAAGATCTGGGAATAAGTTTTTCCACCTGATCCTGAAACTTGAAATCAATATCTATATCCTTCCAGGCCTATAAGAAGTCAATAGAGCATTGTATATCATTTTTCAAAAGCAAATCCAATTCTAACGCTGCACGAATATATTGATGATACCTCATGGGTGGCCTGGAAGAGATGCATGGGAACTTCACACTTCATTACCTGCTTATAGAGATATGAATTACTTCCAGCAATAATGCAATTTTCATCACAAACATAATTGCCATTATCAGCCTTATCCCATCTTTTTAAAAACAGCCCCATTTAAAATACAAAATTTCTGAAGTCCTACACTAAAGCTATTTGATTGCGAATATATGTGAAAGGAAACAAATAAAGAACTAAAAATCTGAAATCAATAGAGTCGGCCCCTAAATTACTTGAATTTCATTTCATTTTCTCCTAACTAAATGGAGACAAAGTAATGAAAAAACATAATGATTGAAAAACTAAAATTTTTTCAATAAGCAGTGAAACATGTTTCAGCTGGAATCAATGAACTTGAAGTCAGAGTAGAGGCGACCTAATTGTTGCATCAAATTCTGATGGACAAATTGTAAAGATAATGAACAATGGAAGTGTACACCAATATAATGGCTAAATCAGGTTAAAATCTAGTCAACTCAATTAGATTAACTCTTTTAAGTCGACAGAAATATAGCAAAATCGTTGATGAGTTAAAATAGGCCAAACTATTTTATCAAGCATGCTCAACTCCGGCAAACCAAGCAACATTACCGAAAGTCATCAAATCAATGTTATTTAAAGAAAAGAAAAAATAATGCGGAAGTGGTCGTGGTACTGCAGAAGGATCAAAAACAACTCATTAAAACTTGGCAACCCTAAGTGAAGTCGGCTGACAACTTCACTTGAGTCAGCCCTATGTTTAGAAATCAGCATGTACTCCTAACTTCATCAAATACTACATTATAGCTAATTTTATTTTAAATCAATCACTTGCTAAGCCCTGCTCTACAATTCTATTTCTATTGCATATAGCTATTTTTATTTTAAGGCAATCTCTTGTTAAGCCCTGCTATTCAATTTAATTTTTATTGTATTATGTTGCTCTAACATCGTGCCTAGACTCAAGCTTAAAAATAGGGGCCAAAAGAATATGAAAATGAAATATTCAACTATTTATTCAAATTTTATACATCCTATAGAACTGGCTAAAATAACTTCTCTCTAAAATTTATTTCTCTCATTTTTCTCTTGTTACTTAGTCATTTTTAGTAAAAAGGTTTTAGTATTATGCTTAATAAATTTGAATTAAATAATAAAACATTAAGAAATTTGATGAACTAAATCTTTGAAAAAAACACTTTGCCGAAGCCAAAGAATATTCTAACTTTCTGTAAGTGCAAAATCTAATGCATGCCCTATCAATTTTAACATTTTATATTCTCTTACTAAAAGGGAAAGGAATTAATGATGATGATATTTTAAGCTATGCCTGCATTTAATAACTCAGATAACAGAGAAAATGGCAAAATAATAAAATAGTACACAAACCTGTGCAGCTGAAGGTTCCAACTTAGAGACATCAAATCTATAATCCTGAATAAACCTAAAATTCAGGATTCACAAGCTCAACAAAGAAATTGAGCAAGAATATAATTAGAACAGAATATAAAAAATCCTTAATATTGCAAAATTGTAAGGCTCCAAAAAGCAAACTTATACAAATATAAAATAAAAAGGTAAATCATGGATATTCCTACAAGGCAAGAATCACGTGCAATGCAACGAACACATGTTAGTACAATCAAAGGGTGAGAACAAAAAGTTCGTAATGAGAGGAAAGATGTCCCTGCCTATTTGGAACACCAACACCATTATAAACAAAACACTACACACAACACAAGTAAAATAAGTCCAGAAAACAAAAAAGATCAAAAGATTATAATGCTACCTTCAGAAAATTTAACATATACAGTGAATATCAGCACATTTCACCATGGTTTAAAGAGAAACAATGATGCATATCAATGCATGCCTAGATGCAGTGCGAACAGAAAAAACTATTTCATGGTTATCAAAGAGGAGTTCTAGACTAAAAAAAATTTATTGTAGGAAAGAACTAGATTAAAAAGTTAATTTTTAATATTGTTTTCAATCCTCAAAATTGATGATATTTTCTATTTATTGTCTTCCGTTTGTATTCATCAGGTATGCCTAAATATAGGCACCAAAATTCAATCAATAGCATATCCATTTCTCTCGTAATATCAGAGTTATGTTGGTGTATACTCATTATCACAAGCCCGCACTCCTAGTACTAAACAACTTCATAACTCAAATAGTTAGTATGAATTAATCTAAGTTTCTCTTAGATTCTACTCACTCACTCTAGGGATCAAGGCTTCCTACACAAATCTCATATATTAACTTTGCTTTTAATGTCATGAATTTTCATTCATTCACTAGAAGTGTAGCACATGAATTAACATGCATTATTTTGGATGTAAATTTTTTATTAAGCTAGCACTTCAATGATTTGAAGAGTGGGCATAAGTTTTGATATTTGTATATTGAAGCAACAAACAGATATTCACCAAAGTTTGTTTGATGTTTAGCCTATTTAAAATAAGTTGCTATTACGAATGAGTGTATACATATTTAAAAAAGTTTTAGGGGCGACTCTACGCTGAGTCGAGAAGAAAACAAAAACATTTATTAACCATTAAAAGAGTTTTAATATAATAGGAATGACATTTACAATTCTTATACAACTTACTTAGTTGATGCCCTAGTTAAATGTTCAAATTACTCCATAGGATTTAAAGCAAATTACATCAACTTCGAACTAAATTGAAAAAGATCAGAAAACACAATAAACGTGCACTAAACATGGAAAAATGAATGGATACATCCTACAAGGAGACTAGCACATAATCTGGCATATAAATAATCCCAAAATCTGATTTTTCATGATAGATTCTCTATTATTCACACACAAAATTCATGACAGAAAGACATTACTGCCAAGCATTTCCTCAGTGAATGTTGGTTCGAACCATAGCAAATTTCCAAAATTCAGATAAACCCCATACAACAACAATTATCTTCAACAATGACAAACAAATATCAAGCCCACATCTTGACTTCTAAAGACAGCCTTCCCTTCTATCCAGCTCATTTAAATTAGAAAAAATGAGAGTAACTGAGAGCGTAACTCATAGACTTGGACCAAAACTTATTTTCCATTCATACAAATTAGATCAATAGCAACATAGATGGAGAAATTTTTTAACATCCGCATAGAACATACTTTTGATTTTAAAAGATTGCTCGTGAAAGCACCAACATCACTTAATCAATTAAACTTAAAATATAATTACTTGTATTAACACATTATACTTTTTAGAAATAATAAAACTCAATAAATTTATAATTTGAGTAAGCATACATTAGTCTCCAATTACAATAAAAATTCTCCTCTCAATTTATTTCCTATTGTATCTATAATGTATGCTACAAATAAGCATTTATGTACAATAAAAAAGGTCATCAAATTTACTTCTCATAACATTGTATCACCAGCTTATACATACATAGCTTATCATAAACTTCTCTAACTCCGCCAATATTCCCATGTTGTAAAGCGCCCACTCACAGCCCAACCCATTCGCCCTTTGCTTTTAGCTTGCCCTGGAGCACTTGTCAAACAAACCCCAAAGTGATTTCCTATGCACTCGTACTCCCCGCACCAAGCTGCTCACTCACCCTATCGCCCACAAACAATGCAACTCAAATCTCTATCCTGAGCAAACTGCATTCCGTCATCAATGAACATCCTTGTGCTCCCCTACTCACCTTGCAGTGGCAGAATAGAAAATTTTCAAAGCAGGGGTACAACATTTTTTTTTTGAAAAATTTCTCAATAGTTAAAATCCAAATAAATTAAAAATATTTATTATTGTTATTATTAAACGTTGTCATTTGTAAACTTTTACTTCATAAAAATCTATAAATAATGGCAAAAAATCCCTACTTAGCCAGACATAGCAATTCTCCCATGAAATGAGAAATTTAAAAAAAAAAGGGTAAAGGTGAGAAGAAACTCTTTATAAAAGAAAAAGTTGAAAATAAAAAAGCTGAATGAAAATCAAAGAGAGATGAAGATTAGGGTTAAGTGTCGGAGTAATCCATCATCAATCTTCAAGCTGTCTCCCTAAATTAAGAGTAATCACTTGATGAAATTCGGGTATCCTATAAAAACACGTAGAATAACGATATTTTTAGTCTATTGCTTGATAAGGATTTTGGTACTTAAGAACTTGTGGAAGGATGAAAAGGATTACCACCACACCGTATCAATTGAATTAAGAAGATGTGTCAAAAGGGAAATAATTAAAGGAAGGTTGAAGTTATAACCAAAGCTAGACATTGCAAGACTTCAGCAAATTCATACTCATGCTAAACAAAAGTGAAGATACTATCATGAAAGGTCAACTAAAAGAGAATGATTGCAGTATTTTTAAATCCTCTTCAATAATCAGAAAAGTATTCATATAATTTGGATGTATGTTTCCCATGAACTCTATGGTTTGTCAAATTTAAGTCATGAACATTGCTCTCACTAATGGATGGTTGGCCCTTCATCATAGCTACAGTATTAAAGGAGTGGTTTACACTATTCTCTTAGTGAATATTTTTACCATCTGTTTAAAAGCACCTTTTTCCTCAAAATGCAAAAAACAATATAGCAAACACTTCTACATATTTCAGACCTAACCAGTCACAACCACTGATTTTTTAAACATTAGCTTTTAGCATTTCGATTTGTATATTTCACGCAAAATTAAATAGAAGTAGACACAATACTCTCACACATTTACTTCTTTACCATATATATATATATATATATATATATGTGTGTGTGTGTGTGTAAAAAAAGGAATCGGTATTTAAGACAAACTATCTTGTCCCCTAAATATCAATACCCAAATGTGCTATTTCGACCCAGCTGGGATTAGAACTCGAGGCAGCGGGGACTTACGCCGAATCTACCATCCAACATGCCACGGCTATGCATTATCAAATGACCAAACCCTAACCTAAAATTAAACGGGTCAAAATTTTCAAGCTGAACCCAAACTAGAAATTAGTCAAGTCAACTCGAATTTGAATCTTCTGATCGGATTCATTTTGGATTGTAGTGTCATTTCATTTATTGACACTCCTAGCTTATAAAATAAATCACTCAAAAATATTTAAGAAAAAAATTAGAGTTACCTGTCATCTTTATCAATGTATACAGGTTCATTTTCCAAAGAAGTTTTATCCTGCAAAGATTAATGTCAAAATAAGTTATTTAAAGCGTTATAATATAATATAAAATAGGTTTCATTGAAGCTCTTGTAATTTTTTAACTCCGAAGAGCAGAGCTTTTGAGGCACATCAAGGTTTGAGAAATGTAAGGACATGCTGCCATACATCAATATAATAGAATGAAAATTCATATGCAGGGCCAGCCCCATTTCTTCCATCAGTTTCAGTGACCATGTTGCAATCTTCCATCTAATCAGTTACAAATAAATGAAAATTTAGTTACAAAAATAAAAACAACTGTTGAAGACATCACAGGCGATGTAATCTATGTAATAGAAAATGAATTCCATGGATTTATAAATTACTTCAGCAACAGCAATTTTAAAATAATCTGCACAGAAACAGGAAAAACATATTCTCAAGAGCTCAGAAAACACCTATAACATATTAAAAATTCCTACTTTAAGCAATCGACCAACTGCAGTTAACCAGTTAAACATAGTCAAAGCAATTTAAACAAAAGAAGTCCAAAAGTTCTAATTTTACAACAAAATACTTAGCAATATGAGCCATAGATAAAAAGAAAACTAGACTTTAACATGCATCAGGTTGTATTTAAAACCATTTCAATATAATCTACAAGGAAAATAGTATAATGTTCGCAAACAAATACAAATTGTCGAGCAGATACATGAAAATTTAGGAAACACTACATAAAACAAGCAAAGATGGGCAAGTCTAGACTACAAGTTACAGTATTTTTAGAGGACTTCATTGTTCTATTACCCGCTGAGGTTCTATGGTACCCTGTACCATGCATGGTACTGTTAAAAATTACTGTATAGGTTACTGAAAATGGGCAATACTTTTCTTTTTATACATCAAATGTGTTTTCCAAAATTAACATTTACATATGGAGTAATGGCGGTCATGACATGTATATCAATTTTTTCTTCTCTGCTCGGTTTCATTTTCATGGAAACAAAATATTTCAATGCCCCTAATCTATTGGTCGAGTCTTCTTATGTCTTGTTCAGATCAAGAAAAGTATTGCTTGGATGAAAACAATTTCTACATGATGCTTGAACTTTAGAATTTTTCGAAAGTAGAATCTTAAAATTAGATAAAACAAAATAATATAGATTCCTTCTGATCTTTAACTCATTAAGAATCAGCAAGTGCTTGTTGAGTATTGTCCTCGTATAAAATCGATAGCAACGGATTGAGGAGAGTTTCTAAAAAAAAGTGTACAAATTAGTGAAAAGGGAATGAACAGCTTACACAGCACTCCAACATGTTTATCACATCTGTGATAAACATGTAAAAGTGATAAACATGCTGGACAATTATGTAATAATTATCACTGATCCCCATTTTTGAAGAACTATGACTTTGGGAGTCTCCAATGTGATAATGTTGGCTTCAAGAGGAATAAAGAGAATGCATGACCCACAAATTCTGAAAAGTATTCTAGCAATGATGTTTACACATTGGAGTTATGAATAAAAATAAGCTTCAATCAGGATGGCTGTGGCCATAGTCAGAAAAGGAAGCAGGGGAGGGGACTCCGCTAGAAGAGAGCATTCAGCAGAAACTCAGGGATGCAATAACATGGGCTTGGAGATTTTTAATGCAAGCCCTGTGCAAAATTTAAAAAATATTCAATATCTTTTTGTAAAATTTGTTGAATTTTAAATCATTTGGTTAAAAATATCAGTATTAAAAAAATAGAGAATGAACAAAAAATGATTCCCACTATTGCCACCTTTTGGTTTTCCCATTGCCACCTCTTGTTAACCTTTATTGTCGAGTCATTTGAAGCTTTTAAAGTTAAAAACAGATTTCTTCTGTTTATGTGCTGGGAGAATTGAATTTTGCATTTTTTTTTTAAACTAGAACCAGTAGGATTTGAAGAGTTTTGTATTGTGGGCCCTTCGTAGGCTATAATTAAAACCCTCTGAGGAATATAAAAATTATTGAACGTTCAGCATTATAGTAAAATTATTGACTTATGAGTATTGCTGTAAAATTCAAGTTTGCTTCAATTATTTTGTATGTGCTGGCTACAAATGTATTCATTGAGTGCTTAATAGGTGTTACTGTTATTTCTGTGGACAGGCCAGGCCTCCATACACAAACGTGGACCTAATTTTTATTTTCAAGTGATTTCAATTCATGTTTTTGCTTTTAATTTATTAAGTTGTTGTTTGTTATTGTAATGTTATCAAGTGTGATACATTCTGGAACTCAGGTCCTTAATGAGCCTAGATTATATCGTGAGATCCCAAATAAATCACAGAATGAAAAGCTCTGCTAGGGTTTTTGGAGAGATGAAGCATTTCTACTGCTGGTGGTGTCTGTGGGTGCTGGTAAGGTGGTGTGTGTATATATATATATATATAGGAATTGAGATGGAGCTGGCGGCTGGAGTGTGTGCTCTGCTAGGGTTTCTTGGGAGATGAAGCCTTTCTGCTGCTGGTGGTGTCTGTGGGTGCTGGTAAGGTCGTGTGCTGTGCTTCTCACTTGCTTTGGAGTCCCTCTTGTGGTTTTCTCTCCTTGGTTTTTCCCTGGCTTTAGGTTTTCTTAGACGGGTTACTGTTCTATTGAGCTGGAGTTTTTACTTCTGTGGGTTTTCTGTTGGCCTGCTGAAACTTGTTCTTTCTCCCTTTTCTCTACTGGAAAGATCTGGTTTTCTGCTTTGTGGCTGTCTTTTCTTTTGCAATGGCCACTCCTATTGATGTCCACACTGATTCCCATTGGACTAAAGCTACATATGCTGGTATTGTTGGAAGAGCCAATGATACTCTCCAAGATCCTGCAAACTTAATATTCCCTCAGGAATTTCACAATGCAGCTGCTGGTAAGGGGTTTTGCCCTTGCATCCACCCCCTTGGCACTAAAGATGGATAAACTGTTGTTTATTTCTCTGCCACTGAAATTGCTTCACTGAATGAAGAAGTCAGATTGACTCTAGTTGGAAAATTCCAATTGGGTCACCCCATAATGGATCTTGTTAGAAGCTTTTTTGATTCTCTGAACTTTATTGGACAATGGAAGCTTGGTTTGATAGATGGCAGGCATCTTCTTATCCAACTATCTATGGAAGAAGATTATACTAGGCTTTTTGCTAAACAAGCAGTCTTAATAGCAGGAGTTATAATGAAAATACAGAAATGGACTAGGGACTTTGACCCAACAAAGGAGCTCCATGTGGTCCCAGTTTGGTTCAAGATACCTGGTCTCCCATTACCTTATTTCAAGCTAAATGCCCTTTTTAATATTGGGAGAGCACTAGGTACACCCCTCAAGGTAGATGCTCCTACCTTCAACAAGGCAAGACTTGCACTTGCCAGAATTCAGGTTGAGAGAGACATAACCCTTCCAGAGATAAACAGTATATGGATTGGTTCTGAAGCTGATGGTTTTTGGCAGGATATAATTGTTGAACAAAAACCATTTTACTGTCAACACTATAAAATATTTGGTCATACCATTGAGAGATGCTATAGGCTCCACCCCCCTACAAAAAAGGCCTTTGTGAATCAAAGGGTAGCTAGTCAAGCTGCTAAACAGGGTCCAAGCAACAATCCTATTACAAATGTTCAATTTATTGACAGTGATGCTGTCAGGCAAACCAGTACTACTCTTGCCAATAATAATGCTCCAAAAATTTCTGATAGTATTCCCTCTGGTGATCCTTTGGGGGAACTATCAGAATTCCAAGATATCATGGAGGTCACTCTAGGAAGAGTGGTGAGAGCAGAACCCAATGAATTCACTATAATTACCCCTCCCTCCCCCACACTTGGAGAAAAAGGGAAAATTGTGCTGAACAGTCCCCTGGCCACTGAGGCTGTTACTAAAATTGTTGATACTGTTGTCGATGAATTGCAACAGACTTTAGAAGAAGATTGGCAAGTTCAGAAGACCAGGAAGAAGAAAAAACAGGCTTCTGAGGTGCAACAACTATTACAAGGAACAAGTTCGCTGACGAATGAAGGGAAGGCTAAGACTAGTAATGGCTCTACCTCTACTTATAATAGAGGAAGAACTAGATCAAGATCTCAACCTTCTATTCAATTTCTACCTATCAGTGATTAGTATTCCCTTTTGGAATATTAATGATCCTCATGATTAATATTTTGTGTTGGAATATTAGAGGAGTGGGTCACCCCTCCTCTCTTATGAGATTGAAACATCTTATCATAACCCACAAGATTTGGTGTTTTGCCATTCTTGAGCCTATGGTCACCAAATATCCCTAGAATATTACCAAAAATTTTTCCAAATTTACTTTTTATGCTAATTCTAATAATAAAATCTGGCTTTTTGTCAGACCTGAAATTCAGTGCACCTTGCTTGTTAATCATCAACAATTTCTTCATATTCAATTCTCTATTGGAGCACAGGTGGGGTATGCTTCATTTATTTATGCTAGCAGTCTTCCCAGACACCAACAAGAATTGTGGCATGAGCTGATACAATTGGGACAGCAGATTGACTCCTTTTGGATTTTAGGTGGTGACTTTAATTGCATCACTTCACCAACTGAAAAAAGAGGGGGTAAAGCCCCCTTACCATCTCCAATCACCAAATTCAACAACTTCATCAGTGGCACTGGATTATTTGATCTAGGCTTTCAGGGGCCTAAGTTTACTTGGAAAAGAGGTACACTGTGGGAAAGACTGGATAAACAGCTTGGCAACTCCTTATGGTTTCAAACTTTTCCCTACTCTACTGTCACAAACCTTGCTATGGTTGGTTCTGATCATAGACCTATCCTTTGCTCCATACAGAATACTATTAGACCCTCTCATATCCCTTTCAGATTTCAGAATATGTGGGCATTACATCCTGAGTTTCTTAAGGAAGTTGATAAAAATTGGGAGTCTAACAATGATGCAGATCCCTGGATCAGATTGTGGCTCCTGCAAAAGAATTTAGCCTCTCATCTGAAAAAATGGAATTGGGATAGATTTGGCAATGTCAATGAGCAACTTTATGCCATCCAAAAAGAAGTTCACAGACTGGAAGAAGGTTTACAAATGGGGATGAATTCTGACTTTGAGGTCCATCATGCTAATGAGAGACTCCTTGCACAAATCAGCTATTAGGAATGTTTCTTAAAACAGAAAGCAGCTGCCTCAAAATTCATTGATGGTGATAGAGATACAAGATACTATCATGTCTGTATCAACTACAGGAGGAAGTGCAATATGATTCTCAACATTACTAATACCAATGGTCAG